TTTGTACGCGGATCACGTGAGATTTCACCCGTGTCATCCCTATATAGAGAGTCTACCGACTCTCTGATACTAACACTGGTCTTTCACGATGGCTGGCACTCCAGTCCACAATGAATTCTCTCAAGCATTTAGCGCTCTCCTTTGTAACCGCGCGTATTCTTCGGCGCTGTCCTACAATCTGATTGGTCTGCAACTATAGAATTTTGCAATTTGAATCTGTCGACGTCTAAATATAGATGCCGAGTCCAGGAAACTACGCGCATTAGAGAGCCGCGGGGGCCCTGGGCTGTCGGCGTTCGAGGATGCTACTAAGGGCCCCCAAGGCGCTCTAATGCACGTAGTTTCCATGGACGAGGCGTCTAACTTGTTTAGAGCTATGGCAACGCGTGCGCGCAATTCAAATTCGGTGCATCTGAAACCGCGAACGAGCGGTGCTTTCTCGCTGGGAAGTCGAGCGAGAGGCCCAGGGAGGACGTCGACGCCTCTACGTACCTTTGATTCGCAGACCGTTGGGGTGACTCCGCCAAGTGAGCCATTGCGCATGCGCCAAATTTAGAGTCCGATCCGGAGAAAGAGTCCGGAAATTTTTTATCTACTCGCGCACGGACCAATCAGATTGCGCGATTTAAATTACCCAGCTCTAAAATTAATAATAGGTTACTATAATTATACGCGAATTAGAGAGCCGCGGGGGCCCTGAGCTGTCGGAGCCCTTAGTAGCGTCTGTAGAGCCGCTCTACTCCAGGGCGGTCCCAACACAAAGGGAGGCATCCTTTTTTCAATGGCAGCACTAACACACCCTCCTTTTCCTTGTCAAGATTCTTCATAAAGACGGTGAGAGCTTGAACAGCATGAGTGGCCCAGCCACCATTAAACATCTCGCAGCTCAAATGTGCAAATCTGCACATCACACAGCTGTGCTTCTGTGACATCATCACTGCTGTGCCCACATGGGAGTTACACTCTTCACTAGTGACCATTTGATGCTGGAAGAGGAAGTTTCGAACGATTTCAGACTGAGAACATCAGTGTCCATATATATTCCTCCGTTGTGATAGACAGCTACAGCTCAGGGCCCCTCGTACCGTCTAAATCGCATATTTTCCATTGGCGAGCAGTATAACCTATAATTATTATTTACACCACAGCACTGTACAAAATACAATATTTTTAGCTATAAAGAATAAAGGAATATCACGGTTCCCTCGATTATGTCACCACAAAGTGTCGGAAATGGCATCAGTTTTCGAGTTCAGATCTGTCTGGGAACTCTTGGGAAGACGGCTGGGGCCTCAGGTTGAGCCGCTGGTCGGAGGAATCCAGTGGAATTGCAGAGGAAACTTTGATTTCCGCGAGGCATCGAGGAGGGAGGGGAAGAGGAGAAATGACGACGATGGCTTCGAGATTGAAGAACAGTAGCTTAGCACAGCCAAGAGGGAGAGCGACTTTGTCGGGAGTGGAACTCAGGTGCCGTGACTGGTAATCAAATGGACTAGAACTGGTTTAGTTCTTGCTCTGCAGTTAGCTACGTGCCGAAGGCTTTGTTCTTCTTCGTGGGAAGTGGGTAGGGATCGTGGGAGTTCTAGCTGCTGTAGCTGCTGTAGGTCCAGAGGTTCACATGACTGCCTCCAGTGATTCAGCTGAAGGAGAGAGAGAAAGAGAACGTCAATAGGTCATGAGATCATTCACTGTTACTAATACTGGAGAGCCACAAGTGATGAATATGGAGTAGCTGTAACTTTTCCCTGGGAAAGTCCCTAAGCATCTGGATAGCTAAATTAACAACTGAACTATGACATCATAGAGTAAAATCAATGCCCAACAGGAAACTCTACTGAGCTATTTATCATGGTCAAATATGGACTATTTCCTTATTCATATATGGACCGGTACTTTCCCCAGGACAGCCCCACAAGCATCTCACATGTAGCTATGTCACACTAGTCTGTTTCCATTTTAGGCTAAAATCTATGATTTCACTAAAACAGAATCACTGCTGATAGCTACAAGTGGTTGAGATTGAGATAATTGTCAGCAATGAGGTCACCGTGCAAAGTAAACAACACCAGCCACAGAGAGGAGAGCCGGAAAGAACCATGCTGCTAGTGTAGATAATAGAGCTTCCACTATTGTATCATCTACGTCACGGGAGTAAATCAATACCAATAGGAAGTTAACATGGTTTCACTTCTCGTAGTTGTTATGGTCGATGGTCAAGTATGGACACATTTCCTTATGTTTCCAGAGGTAGTTTCCCTTGGACTCCCCCTCTAGGATACAATAACTAACTCTCCTCTACAACTTACGATCTTACCAAACATTTCTATTTTGCCACTGTTGATAATATGATGTGTAGATAGAATTAAGCCCTCTCTAAATTAATACATCCCTTTATTGGTGTCTGGATAATATGGGGTTTAACTTATTGATCTACTGCGCGAAACACTGTAGCACACTAGTCAACATACCTACAACACCCCCTCTAATAACGATAAACACAGCCGTGCAAACACATGGATGGATGAGAGCTAGATTTGAGAACTGAGACGGTGTTGAAGATGTGTCCATACCTGCAGAGGCCCGGGCAATGGACGGAGCAGCAGCTTCAGGGTTGGCGACAGGTTTTGGACGACTGAACGACCGGACGCCGACGGCGTGAAGTGCGGAGTCTGCCGAGCGACTCGCCGGTGCGGGTCTGCAGTACTTCCACTCCATCTCCTGCGCCAGAACGTTCTTTCGTATGGCGTTGAGAGCTCTTACCACCCTCGTCCAGGAGGCGTTCTGGTCCGATTTGAGCCACAGTTCCATGGTTTTCAAGAGTTTTATGTCGTCGCGCTGTTTGCTTTCGCGGATCTCCCGCAGAACGGAAGATTTCATTCCGAGCTGGGCACTCAGCCGAGCCGTTTCAGACCACGTGAGCTGGTCCAACTCTTCGGCTAGATCTCCCACCTGAGGCTTGCTCTCTGACATCTCGCGCGAACTGTCAAAACACACGAGTTTGTTGCATTGCAGGCGCCGAGCCCCACCCGCCTTTTTATAATCAATTCACTTCCGATAGAAAACCCGCATGCTCATAATTACGCTGCTACGTAATACGCACGACGACCTTTCACCCTTACACACGTGAGGGCAGAAGACCCGCAGCAGCAAGCAAGCAAGCAAGCCGACGACGGTCAATGGCGAGTAAACTGAGCCACGTAAGTTGCATGTACCGTTGCCATATCTTTACACTGTGCCTACTTCTTCTTCGCAGTCCCTAAACACGATTTCTAGTAGAATTCAGTCGGACAACCTGTCCATTGCTAATAGGTGCTCAATTCTCTCTCTCCCCATCTCCCCGTAGAGTATAGGTACCCACACCAGACTGTGGTATCTGATCGATGCCAGACATCAGGTGGTGGGTAGACTGGCGTCCATGGTAGCTCTTCTCCTCCAGGGCAAAAACAAACCCATCTACCATCCATCTGGTCAGCAAGCAACCCTCTCTCGTGTCATCTCCATTTTCTCTTCTCTAGCTACGTTCCCCTTTTATCCCAGATCTCTCTCTCTCTCCGTTTCCCTCTCTTCATACTCTATTTCCTATCTCAACACTCTGTGAATTGCTCCCACTCTTTTACATTTGTTAGTTATTACAAACTGGATACTCGCTTGTTGTTCCTTCTCTCCCTGCCCTTTTCTTCTCCCCGCTCCATTTTTTCCTCTCCACCCTCAACCGTTTTCTCATCCTTACTTCCTGCTTCGTAGTAATTACGTTTCTTTTTCTTACGTTTTACATTTCTTCTTTTCTCTCTCCCCTCCGTCCTCCTCCTCCTCCACTTGCCCCCAGTGGACACGGGAGATCACGTGGTGGTCATCAACACGGGCCATGCGGTGTTGACGGGCTCTAAATGGGATAAGAAGCTCTACAGGCACCACACTGGGTATCCTGGAGGTCTGAAGGAGATCGTTGCCAAGCAACTTCACCAGAAAAACCCAACAATGGTCTGTGACTATAATTATACATGTACTTGACGCAGTAGAAGGAAAATTCGAAGATACCTCCATATAAGGATACTTGGTTCTGCTCCAAGTGTAGTTATTAAGGAAACTTCTGAATAAATGGATGTTCCCAAGGTATCCTTTATTCAGTGGTTTAGCTGCATTTTCTTGTATGAACTTCTCCTGTTTAGCTCTACCATTAGACAATAGTTATATTATACCTAAACTCTACTTTTTATACTTTTCTCTCTCTCTCTTCTCTTGCCTTCACTTGACTCTTCCCCACCAGATACTGAGGCGTGCAGTAAATGGAATGCTGCCCAAGAACCTTCAGAGGAAACACAGAATGAGGCGACTCCATCTCTACCCAGACTCCGCCCACAGCCACGCCCTCAACATCACCCACCAGCTACCGGGACCCTGTCCCGTGTTCAAGACCCTATCTGACTATAGCTCTGAAGAGATTACGTCATTCCCTGATATTGTTACGAGGATCTCTCATCTGTGACCCCGCACGCGCATTGATCGCTGCTCGTGTGACCATGTACCACTGTTGTATGATAAACTGTTGCATTCACATTTGCAGGAGTTCATAATTATTAGTGTGAGTTCTGGGTGGGTGTGGTCTCGGTGGTTGCCGTGACGACCTTCCCAACGGCGGCAACCTGGAACCCAATCTCCAGCAGTTTCTTGTGGTCGAGAATGAGTCGTCCGTCGAAGATGAACGCTGGCTTCTCCATCAGCTCGTACACCCGGTGGTAGTCCAGTCGCGTGAACTCATCCCACTCGGTGCATATCACCATGGCGTGCGCTCCCGTGAGGGCAGAGTACGGGTCAGTTGCTATGGTGACCAGTTTGTCGTAGCGATCGGGGGTCGGCATGATGGAGGGGTCGGTGAGGTCCATCTTTATCTGTTCCTTGGTGACCTGTGGTGAGGGGGAAAGACAGAGAGAGGAGAGAGGGGGAAAGACAGAGAGAGGAGAGAGAGGGGGGAAAGAGGGAGAGGGAAAGACAGAGAGAGGGGGGAAAGACAGAGAGAGGAGAGAGAGGGGGAAAAGAGGGAGGGGGAAAGACAGAGAGAGGAGAGAGAGGGGGAAAGACAGAGAGAGAGGAGAGGGAGGGGGGAAAGACAGAGAGAGGAGAGGGAGGGGAAAGACAGAGAGAGAGGGGGAAAGACAGAGAGAGGAGAGAGAGAGGGGGAAAGACAGAGAGAGGAGAGAGAGGGGGAAAGACAGAGAGAGAGGGGGAAAGACAGAGAGAGGAGAGAGAGGGGGAAAGACAGAGAGAGAGAGGGAAAAGAGAGAGGGGGAAAGAGAGAGAGAGGAGAGGGAGGGGGAAAGAGCAAAGATTTTCAAGGACATATCACACAGGTTCTGTATTTTATACCAAATATTTAAGGATGGGTTGTGTACTGAAGTAGTGAGTCATGTGTCACTGTTCGCTACACATTAAATACAGCAGTATAATATATGGAAGCAATGTCCTCCACATTAAAGGGTGTTGTGTATTAAGCACAGATCAAAACTTCCCCCAAAACTTTCCCTAAAAGATTCCCTAAAAGATTCCCCACCCAAGACACTAAAGCTCCACAAGTCCTAGTATATATACACCCCCTGACCTGAGGGTCATATATGATGACCTTGGCCTCCTCGTCCATGAGGTGTTTGCTGATGTAGATACTGGACGACTCTCGCGTGTCTCCAGTGTTCTTCTTGAATGCAAACCCAAATATGGCGATCCTCTTCCCCGTCACCGTCTGGAACAGTTTGTCGACTATTAGCTTTGCAAACCTGCTGCGTTGGAAGTCGTTCATTGCTATTACCTGGAGGAAAGAGGCGGAGGAGAGGGGAGAGAGGGGAGGGGGAGATCTCTGCGGTCAAACTAAAGATGTCGTGTGGTGTCAAAGTTGAATTATCAGCAAGAACCAGACAATTTCCTCTATCAATTTTATTGCTCCCTCAAATACTCAGTCACCAATCTTTTTGGCAGATGTGCCTCTAACACACACACACAACCTTATCTCAAAAAAATCGATCCCCACTTAAAAAATATTTCCCACCTAATCATCAGATATATGTACTGATGCCAGTAGTCGGCGACCTGAGGGAGGTTCAGAGCCTCACAGAGATAGACCAGATTCAGCACGTCTTCTGGAAACAGCTGCCACCAAATCCAACACTCGCCTGCACGTAAGTTAAACATTACGGTGATGCAATAATTACAGCCTAACCTTCAGAAATTTGTTTCCAATCCTGAGTCCAGTCCGATGGCATGAGCAACCTCCTCCACATCAGCCCCCGTGGCCTCGCACACCGCGCTGATTGCGGTTGATTGCTGGATATCCGCTGGGCGAGGAATGCGTTTGGCGGCCAGTTTGATAGCTCGGAGGACCAAGTGTTGGTGGTGATGATCCTCTCAGCCGGGACCCAGCGCTGGTACACTGCAGTCACATGGGAGGGATGAGAGTGGTGAAGGTTGGAGCGAGATGAAGACGAACGTTTTCAGTGAGGAAGAATGAACAAAGAAGTTTAGATGAAGATAGGGGGAAGGGCAGCAGTTTGGAGCAAGCCATGTGAGGCAGAGAGAGTGACGAGAGCGAGCATAGGAGAAAGGCCAAAGTTTCAAGCCAGATAGGGGTAAGATGAACCATCTCAAAATAATCAAAGGACTCCTCTTCTTCTTCATTTCTCTTCTCTCTGTCTCTCTCTCTCTCTCTGACTCGCTCACCTGACTCAGTGCGTCCACGGCAACCCTCCCTCCCTCGCTCTCCTCTCCACCAATCAGAACGCGGTCTGGATGCAGGAGATCTTGATTGCCGTCCCTTCGGCCAGAAACTCAGGATTGACAAAACCTTACATAAGATGGAGAAACACAAATCAAGCAAATAATTATGTCGCACGTAAAAACAGATAAACTTATGCCTCTATACTATATTTCTCAAGGATCGACATTCTCCATAATTCCATTAGTCATTTTTCAACGGTGTCTTATATACCAATAGTCAACGATACCTGAAAAGGCACATGAGGCGCGCAGTAAGAGAATATCTTCTTTATACTGTCGGCAGCCTTCACGGGGACGGTGCTCTTTTCACACGACTTATCTTGGTTGCTTGGCAATCTCGGCGATCTTTCTCGCGGCAGACTCCACGAATTTCAGATCCGGCGCACGTCCCTTTTCCGACGCCGAAGGTCTTGGTCGGCGTGTTGACCGAGATGAAGATGAGGTCGGCCTCGATTATTGCAGTCTCCGTGTCCGTCGTGAAGAAGAGGTTTGTCCCGCGGACTTTTTCGACGATTTCTTGAAGGCCGGGGTTCGAAATGGGGGAGATTGTCTGAGTTCCAGGCATCGATGCGGAGGTTGGCTCAGGTCCACTACTGTCACCTGTGAGACGCAGAGAGACGATGAGATACTTGTGTATGTATGTGGTGGTGGGTGGTGGTGGTTTATTTCTCTCTCTATCTATCTACCTATCTACTATGGTGAGTAACATATGCTATGAACTATAATTTCATGTATAAGCTTATAAGTAGTGTTTCATTTACCAACCATCCAGTCTTTGAATAAACAAGAAAATTACCCATGTTACCATAAATCACTATTTTAGATAAGACTGGGGAAGGAGGGATGCTTTAGAAGAGAGGGCGTGTCAGTTCACCCCGCCACCTGAATATCCGGACATTGCAGGCAATGACGCTGCACGGGGGACCGCCCACGTAACCAGCTCCGATACAGCAGATCTTCTTACCACCACTGGCTCCGACATTCTTCTTTCTCGAAGAAATACGCTCCGCGACGAAAATCCTAATTAAGCGCAGCATAAACTGTTTTGCGCATGCGCAATGTACATCGTACACGTGACCGGCTTCGTGTGTGTAGTCTCAAGCTGCCTCCTAAAGCTTTGGTTGTGGGTCAGTGGTATATAGAGAAGGAGGAAAGAGATGGACATGACAACGCAGCAGATATTGTCCGGTCTGACGGCGGGGGACCAGAACGCGTCGGGAGGCGGCGGCTCTGGCGGTCTGCCAGCTTCGGGAGCAAGTGTCATGTGTGAGCGTACGTAACGTACCTCGTAGGCTTTATTATCCAATTAACGATACTCTCGTCTGTCCTCTTCTCTTTGCATAGCTTGTGTGTCAACTAGACGTGTCGTCTGGGGTATTGTGGTCTAGTTGTCAGCTTAGAACAGCTTTAGCCTGTGTCTCTTCCACCAGTCATTTCACACACTCACACCTGCTATTGTCTCGATGGGCGCGCAGCTCTTTTGGCATCACTCTCTCCAATCTATTTTTGATACTACTTGTTTGCTCTACATCTGCCTGGCACCCTCTCCTCCTTCTCTACTATTGTACTGGTGTTCACAATATGTCGCATTGCCCCGTCCGTCGCACTTGCCGCTGCTTGCATGTCGCGATGATACGTAGATCTATCTTCGTGGCGATGTGCGAAGGCCTGGGTGACATATATGTGAAAACGTGGCCTCACCTGTCTGTCCACACCTCCTACCCATCATACACACACACACACACCCTCAGTGCAGGAGTAGTGGAACACGGTGAAGACAGACCAGGTCACACAGACACCTGGCGGGGAGGATATGGCGATCCAAGCGCAAACTCCAGGTATATACTACATTTACTAATCAATACTTGTCATGTTAGGGTTGTCTGTCTTTGTTTTCAAAATGGACCGTGATGATTACTAAACTCGTCGTGTAACTCACGTAGCTACACTTTTAAAGCTAAGGCTTCTAGATGCGGAGTTCTGTTCATTTCCATGGCGATGTAGGAGGTGAGCTTGAGAAGGATGTGGACTCGTGTTGATGGCAAGCTTCAACACGCATCAAGACTTCTGGGATCAAGGTTACGGTGCATCGTTGTTGTATGGGCTTTCCTGTCACCCCATTAACGATTTTGTGTTGGGAGAAGGTTTTTTGTGATTAAATTGGGTCTTCTTTTGGTTGTGGAAAGACTATTGACTTGTTAACCACTTTGCTCTTCTCTCTCTCCTACTCCCTCCCTTCCTCTTGCAGTCTCGCCGTCCTCTACTTCTCTCCCCCTCATCTCCAGAGATTGGAGAGAGGTCCAGGAGTCCTGTGACTGGTGGGCCAGCGGGGTTTTCAGTACGGAGGAATGGGAGATGGGGGATGTTGCTGATCCTCCGAGAGATTTACATTCAACCGAATGACCAACGAAGGTAAGCCCCTGCAATGTAGACCAAGTAGGAGTAAGAAGGTTAATTGGCCCCTGTCAATTAGGAAGCAGGTGAAGAGTATAGCCCTCTCAATTAGACCAACAAGGGTACGCCCCTCTCAATTATATAAAATAAGGGTAAGCCCCTGTCAATTGAAGGCAGATGAAGGTTAAGCCCCTGAACACCTTTCTGGGATCGATGGCGGTCGATTCGGGTACCTTAACCCGGCGTTCTGGTTAATCCCGCACGCCTGTTCTTGTTCGCCAAATCAATTAACTTTTTACGTAATAATTCCGCAGTTCATGTTCGCTCGTCTTCCTCTCTTCTCAGTTTTATCTGGGTTGGTCGTCTCCTCGGTCCTAAAGGCCTGACTCTCAAGGAATCCAGGCAGAG